ATAACGGAAGTACCCAAGTGCAGACTGGGTTGGTTCTGTTGCAAGTGTAGTTTATTTTTTTATTTGTATTAAAGCCTTGTTTTCAAAACCACGTGATCTGCTTGGTAACCTTCCTTTTGGGCCTTTCCTTAGCCTTTTTCTGCAGCACACACTTGAACCCTGCACTCTGTATGTAATACACTGTTATGCACCTTCTTAGTATTTATTGCCCTATAAAGACCCTCCCACCATTAGTGCAGGAGGTGTTACTGCTGCTTTCTGAATGTGTTTTTTTTTTTCAGCCGAATGGGAATTTTGAATCGAAATACTGTGTCATAACAGCAAGCCAAGCATTTGGCTTGTGGCTGCTGCGCAGCCCCATTGAGCTCAATGGGCATGTTTGACAGGCGATGCAGTTTGGGAAACTTGACATACTGAGTACTGCCTCACTATGAAGCTAAGCATTGGAAGCCATGGCAATGTGTACTAACCCAAGCAGATGCTATTTTCATTTAGAGGTAGGTGGTCAGGGAGCAGTTCAGTTTATTCATCCTCTTGTAGGCCACTCCCATTGTTAGATGCAATCTGGTCATGCCTATTGCTCTCTTTGGCACACATAACAGAACTTGTTTTTCCACGGTATCCCAGCAGGGTGACTGATAATTTGTCATGCTGTGTTGACTTTGTAAATGTAAACCAGAACAATTACCTGTTATGGGTTTTGTTAGTGTTTACAGATTGTGTTTATACTGATTAAATATCGATTGTTTTAGTTTCTAATATGACTTCAGTGTTTTTTTCAGGTTGTCAGTAAAAAATGTGCTCTGGCAGTAAATTTTCCATGTTCTGTCAATAGAAAAAAGTTGCGAGAGGTTGGCAACCCTGCCTCCCTGGCTGAATACCCTTGCAGCTTGTCATGTGAAAGCCTTGCATCATTTGACTCAGAACACCAAGGAAAGTCAGCCAAGAAGGACTTCTTTCATTCAGACCTGCTCACAACTAGTCTGCATGTACAAGGGAACAGCCTAACATGAAATACTGTATTTTGGGTCTGTGCCATGATGATGGAGGTCTGCCAAATTACTCACAATGGACTGATAGTTAATATTTACCAAAGGCAGCTCTAGCAGTCCTTTTACCAGTCCTAGTAAATGTAGTCATATTAAAATTAAATGAGGATTTACAATAAGTCACACTAATAGCAAGATTCAATTTTTTTTTTTTAAAGCTACAGTAGTGTTTTACACCAGTTTCCCAAAAACATGTTAAGTTAACATAAGAAGAAGCTGATTCTGGGAGACTGTTGAGATGAAAGAAACCTCCTGCCCACCTGCTTTAGACTTGGATTACTTCAAGATTGCAGTAGTGAATTTTTAGGTAGGGATGTTAGGAATATATCTTTCATGTAGTCTAGAGATTATATGTATGAGAAAAAAAGTCTTTAAAAAAATTGAAAATCATAAGATCTGTAGACATGTCAGATAGCAAGTAGGAATTTCCTTCATCAATGCTCCTGCTCCCCTGGCATTTTCCGTCAACTCACGGATCTAGAAAGTATCTGCCACAGGCGGGAACCAATTCATTATTGCCTTTTTACCATTTACGCTGATCAGATTCGACCAATGGTGGACTTTACTCCTGTCTTTCTAAGTGGGAATCTGATCCTGCCATGCAGTTTACTGATTCACAAAAACAGAAAATCCTCCATTTTGCCAAGAAATCCTCTATTGCCACAATTGTCGAAGAGACTAGTTACAAGATTCCAGTTAAGTAAGGTAGCCATGAGGTCTACTATTATACAAGGTGCCCAAGATTCTGCATTGCATTTTTCCACAGGTATCAGAGTCGTGCTGGTGATGTGGCACTGGACGAGGCATGATGCTACACAGTTTTTGAGATTGCCCAAAAATTAAACCATTTTGGCAAGAAGTGGTCAGTACCATTAAACACCTGACAAATGTTGACCTGGTGGGGAAGTCTGCGGCATGCCTGCTAAATCTCACGACACTGTCCGTCAAAAACTATAAGGCTTCCCTTACAATTCAGCTGTTGAACACAACAAAGGTGTGCATCCCCTTGTGTTTGAGGTCTGTGAATGTGCATTTGAAGTCTTGTTGGTTTTCCAAAATCAATGTACTCAGGGACATGAAAGACTTCACAGATACCTTACATAACTGGGAAGAGACCTTTCATGACACACAGAGGCCCTGGCAATATTTTGTGTACACCAATGCCTATCTGCAGGAGGTCTCACAACCCGGATAAGCCCCATGTCCTTTATTATGTGGCTAGAGAAATTGCTTTTCCTGGATTCTCTTTCTTCCTTTTGCCTCCTTTCCTACTGAACCTCTTCCTTCTCTGCCCCTTCTCTGCCCCCTTTACTTATCTCTCCTATTCTCCTCCCGTACCCTCTATGAAGGTCTGAGATATATCTTTTGCAGTTTCTGTAGTTATCCAGCCATTACATTTTGTTCATTGGGCTGTATGCCCTGATTGGGTTATTGTGGTCTCCAAGGCCCATCTGATGGCCCCAGTATGTTTTATTTCTTTCCTAATAAACATAGTTTCATTCCTATGTTGCAATTCATCTCTATATGTTGGAGGTTCTCTCCTTCGCCTCTTTCTGAGGCTTCTATCTTTTTGCCGGTAGTCACATGATCTGCAGTGTTATTTCTTGAATTCTCATTGCTCCTGTGCAGATTTTATTGTATAGCCACTGATTTTGATAATTGCCTACTTTTGTGACTTCATTATGGACTACATCTGCGTATGATTGTTTAATGCAACTTATTGTTAAATAAGGGAATTACAAAAAGATAACAAGCTGGGTCAGCACAGAATGAAACAGTCAGCACATGCTAAAGAAATTTGGCAAGCAAATGAAGCAGCTCCGTAGGTTGTGGACAGGACAAGGAATCTTAGGAGTAGACAGGAGAAGTGTAAAATCCAGAGTTTCCACACACCCAGTTCAAAGGTAAGAAATGCTTCAGAGACAATCTAAGACAGTAGAAAACAAATGACTGGTCAGAATATTCAACAAAGAATAGGAGCTGCTGTAAACTTAAAGCGGAGTTCCAGCTGAAAAAAAAAATAAAAGTCAGCAGCTACAAAAACTGTAGCTGCTGACTTTTAAAATACAGACACTTACCTGTCCCTCGGTCTGGCAGTGTCCTCACCATGGGCTGGTTTCATGGGCTGTCTTCTCTCCCCGGTGTCGGCAACTTCAGTGTGGGCACCCGGCTGTGACAGCTTGAGGCTTCAAAGCTGGGTGCCCACTGCGTGAGAAGCGCTGCGCTTTGTGAATGGTCCCATAGTCTTCTGGGATCTGTCACGTGTCCCAGAAGACTACGAGGAGAGAGGGGGGAGGACAACTTCTGCTTCCGATCGCCTAGGCAATCACAGCGGAAGTAGGAGCGGGCAGGGGCGGACTGACAACTCATGGGGCCCCAGGCAATAGGGGATCATGGGGCCCCTGTGTCCTTGCCCAAACTCAAAAAAGCCTATGAAAAAGGTACCAGGGGCATCTCATGGGGCCCCTTATTGACCCCAGGCCTCGGGCAGTGCCCGAGTTTCCAAATGGTCAGTCCGCCCCTGCACACATCATTAATGTCTAAACGGCTGGCAACAAAAGTGAGTACAATCAAGAGTGACTCGGGAGATTGGCATTGCATACACATATTTCCAAACTTTCCCAAACAGGCCAGTGGGCTGGAGATTTTGACAGATCTGGGTCTAGCAAGTTCCCAGGTATGCTGATGTCTTTCTCATAAAGATGTTCCCAAATGGTTAGGGGTATGTATCCATGGAGTTCATCTTTAGAAAATAATTCAGAAACCTGAATCATTAGCAAATGTAATATTACCAGGCAAATATAGTAGCGGCATTTGGTAAACTAGTCCCAAGACTATACAAATTGAGCAAGGAATGAAAAACAGATCCTCACCTGTTGTGTGCAATTTATGTTTATATCACTAAAAAGAGGTCTATAAATGAGGTTGGGAGCTTGGCATAAACAAAATCCTCAGTTCTGTGTATGCGAAGAAAGCTGATGTAAATGTATATGTCTCTCATAAATATGGCAGTCACAGTTTGGCAAACAATTCATATAAATATGTAGTCAGGCTGTATATAAATGAAACATCATAAGATGCAGTTGGTAAAAGAATTAATGTACAGTATATGGTCACATACTGTATATGGGTATGGGTTGGTCATTTTCCAGATGAAAACACTTAACCATATATGATAATAGAATATGAATCTCTACAGCCTTGAAAAGCATTATATTGGTAAAGCCCTCCTTGTGACATGAGAGAGACCAATTATAAGTCGCAAAATGGCAACTTTCTCAAATTAACTTTTATGTCAATAGGGCTTTTTTTTTAAAGTTGGTGGTGCTCAAAGTGTACAAACAATGAGAATATCAGACAAATGGTTGTCAATTTTTTTTTTTTTTTGCATGCTAGTTTCATATCGATAATGAAGAGGTTATTAAAGTTACAAAAATTCTCGTACAACAAAATACAACTTTGGAAGTGATGTATTGTATTGTATTGTATTGTAATGTGTATTCTTTCATTTCCAAGCATGGGTGGTCTTGGTCTCTCAATTTGTTTTGAACAAATACAAAGCTGATTAAAGAAAAATCATTCCCTCTGTTATCGTACGAGAAACATTTTGATACTTATCCCTTTGGATATTATTACATGAACTGTCTTGATCGGTTGTTGAAAGCTGTGTACTAACAAAAGATTAATGTATGATCCCTCTGAAAGTGATTTTTGTCATCCTTATAGTATCTCACTCACTATACAGTATATAAAATAAACGTTAGACACACTCTAGTCAGTATCCCTTTTTAAAACTGTCCTGCTACTGGGCAATGTTACCCACCTCCCGCCCGCCATATAGTAATATGACGGACGCAAGATGGTTCTTTCATTCTGGGAGGACGTCATATGATGTCCTCACATTCTCACCGCGCATGCACGGCTCAGGGAGCGCACAGCGCGGCGATCGGCGGTGCGCTGTGTCCCTCAGACACAGAGGATCACCGATCACGGAAAGAGCCTGTCATGTGATCAGCTGTGCCCAATCACAGCTGATCACATGTAAACAGGGAAATGCCGGTTATCGGCATTTCTCTACTCTCGAGCTGTCACGCTGACAGCTCATGAGGAGACGAGAGCCGGTAATCGGCTTTCCGCGGAGAGGACATGTACACTGATGATCAGGGCACTGATGATCAGTGTGCCCTGATGATCAGTGTAGCCCCAGCAGCACCACCTGTCAGTGTGCATCAGTGCCTTGTGTCAGTGCTCATCAGTACCTCGTGCCAGTGCCCATCAGTGCCACATCAATGCCACATATCAGTGCCTACCAGTGCACATCAATGCCACATATCAGTGACCATCTGAGCTGCCTTTCAGTGTCACCCATCAATGCCAGTCAGTGCCACCTATCAGTTCTGCCAATCAGTGCCGCCTATCAGTGCCAGTCAGTGCCGCCTATCAGTGCCAGTCAGTGCCACCTATCAGTGCCAGGCAGTGCCGCCTAACAGTGTCAGTCAGTGCTGCCTAACAGTGCCAGTCAGTGCCGCCTATCAGTGCCACCTATCAGTGTTGCCTATCAGTGCCATATATCAGTGCCATGTATCAGTGCTGCCTTTCAGTGCCCATCAGTGAAGCCTGTCAATGCGCATCAGTGCCACCTACCAGTGCCTCCTCATCAGTGCCCATCAGTGTCCATTAGTGCAGCCTATCAGTGCCCATCACTGCAGCCTCATTAACGCACATCAGTGAAGGAGAAAAATCACTTATTTACAAAATTTTATAACAAAAACTAAGAAAAAACTTTTTTTTTTCAAAATTTTTAGTGGTTTTTGGTTTGTTAAAGAAAAAAGAAAAAAAAACCAAGAGGTGATTAAATACCACCAAAATAAAGCTCTATCTGTCACAAAAAAAATGATAAAAATGTCATATGGGTACAATGTTGCATGACCGCGCAATTGTCATTCAAAGTGTGACAGCGCTGAAAGCTGAAAATTGGCCTGGGCAGGAAGGGGGGTATAAGTACCCTGTAGGCTAGTGGTTAAACTGCTGTATCCTCTTCAGTACATTCTGCTTGAGAGGTTTTTGTTGCATTTAAAAAAAGAGATTATACAGGTAGATAGTTGTCAGTGTTTCAATTATGACAGTAGCATAGCGGGAAAATAACATTTGCACTTATAACAAGATGTAGCAAAGAGTAATTCAAGCTTCAGGGTCTCAAAACAGAAGGCTAGGTAATGAAGGAAAAGTTGAAGAAAGCTAGGTCTAGCAGTGCCACCCTGAACCCGAAGTTCCATCTTGAGCCTTCAGCTGTCCAGTGAGTCCTACTTTGGACTGCCCTGTCCACTGGTAGAGTCAATACACAGGATTGTATAGCAGAATTTAGCATGTCATTATTTGTGGTTTGTTTTCAATGAAGCCTGTAAAATGGCTTGCAAATGACAGTGTTCAGTGTTCAGAGATGTTCCTAGTTTCAGGGCTTAGTATACCAAAGCCCCCTTCAGCCATCTCTAATACCTAGGAGGTTTTGGGTTTTCAGTGCAGAGTCACTGTTTTTAGAATAACCAAGAGGTAGAAAAATGAGAGCTCAAGTGTCTTTTGCTTCCCATGTTCAGGAATGTGTGTGGGGATGCTGGCAAAACAACAAACCATCCTTATTTGGAATTCCTTAGAGGTCTGTGTGACAACCAGGCAACTGACAAGTGGGGTGGCATAACACCCTTCTGCATTCACAGACATGCAAGAAAATGTAATGTGCGGCATATGAGCATTACCCATCACTACCTACTAAGTTGATGTTGATAACAATTGTGGAGAAACCCTGTTCTGATCTGTTACAGAGTGAAACATGTTAGAAGAAGGAATTTGACAATGTGACACATTTAATATAAGGTTGTTTTTAAAAAACTGACATTGGCGTTCAGATGGCATTCATGCAAATATCCTGTTGTAAGATTCTGCCCTAGAGCTTGATGGCATTCTGTTCTGATGAGTGTGACAGAAGGGGAGCCTGGAGTTGTGTGCATCTTTACTGTTGCAATATGGTCCATGTGAAAGTTGATCACTACTGTGGTACAGTCACATACATTTTTTGATGCTGGTTATACAGTATATTGCATTTGTATTTGAGAACTAATACTGGAAGGGTTTGCAACGTATGTTTTATTATTATTTCAGTATGTTGTTCAGCTCTGTCATAAATAACTTTTTTTTTTATCCAGTAACCCTTTTTTGGACTTGAGTAGGTCAGTAGCTGGTGAAGCAGTCTCCAGATATCAAGCACCATGCATCAAAACTGATATTATTGCATGGATCTCCATGTGCAGAGGACACATTAAAGAGGAGAAAACTGATCTCTGACCGCACCATAAGCCTAGAGGCTTATTATTGATTGACTAATTGAGTATTGAAGATTTTTGTCTATTTATCCATTTTACAGTACTGAAACAACTGCATTTAAAATGCATTTCATTACTTGAATTAGTTTGATAATATCTGATGATATCACAAGTGTACATTATTTCCAAGATTCATTGTTTCTATTTTTTCTGACAACAATATTTGTGTTTTAGGAAAAAAAAGGTTGACAAACTGATAAGCCTGTGCAAGGGCAAGTTTAATGAGTTGCCTGCATGGTACCAAAGTGAAAAAACAAAAATGTCTACCAGAATTACTTGTGTAACACCCTGCTACAAGTGTTTGATGCAAGATGTTAAAGCGAACACAAGATGCCAGTGTCCTGCAGAACAGTGGTATTCACACTCTGTAGAACAGCCCAATGGAACTTATATGCTGAACCCCAGGACTTTAAAAAGCAATGTATCTATGAGCTACATGTCCCAGAGGAGCTGGTGTGTGGGTGGAGTGATATATATATATATATATATATATATATATACAAAAGCCCGGGAGACCAAGGGGAGAGTGAGAGGAGAGAAATCTGGAGAGAGGATTGTCTAGAAAGTTAATCTGCCAGCAGGTGACCGGATGGAGCGTTGCAGGCAAGACCAGAGAGTGCGTGGAGGCCCCATCAGAGGAGAGAGAAAGACCGCCAGAATTCGCCAGATGCCACCCCTCTGGTAAGAGAGCCCCAAGCATTACCAAGGAAAGGGAACATTGACACTTGCTCCATATTTGTTATTTTCCTGTACACAGTTGCGGACATTGCACATAGTTATTACAAGTTGTGACCTAGTTTCGCCAGCTGCTATTGCTTGACCGCACTCAACACAGCCTTATCATCAGAGGTGATAGCAGGACAACCATTCCACAGGCTGAACCACAGCTGTGTCACATCATCAACTTACTCTTTTAAAGAAACCTTTTTCTATTGTGCAAATAGTCTTGCAATCTAGAGAGATGCTCTGTTTCAACAATCACTTCAGCCAGCTTAACATTTTACTGCTTTGGATCTACTTGTGACTAGTGCTTTAAAGGGGCATTAGTCAATTGCTGCTTTCAAGGGGGAGTGCTGTTCTTCCCTTTTTCTATTGCATTGCTCTTCAGAGAAATACTTCCTCTCATTGTGCACCAACTGAGCCCCATCATGCGCACAGAAGACTCTGCACTGCATTTAAGAGAACATTGGTTGTTTTAGGGTAAAGAGCTCTGTTTCTTTTTTCAGTCTACCTCCCTGCCATCAGGTCCTGAGGGCCCAAAGTGAGCTAGTTTACCTGTTTGATAGTTCTCGCTGATCACTGGGGACTGCAAAGACACTTCAGGTTGAAGGCATTGGGTTAGTTTCTGAAAAGCAGTCCTGCTAACACTAACTGAGAATCTGTGATGAGATTTTTTTTTTTAAGCTGACACAAGTAACAACTGACTTTGTACATTTCAGTTCTGTTTTGAGTTGTGTTGTTGTGTAACCATGCCATTAAAGTTTGCTACAAACCTCTTACAAATTTACTCCAATCAGTGTGTGAGCTTACTTTCTGGTGGTGATTTATTCTGGTTCAGAATGTACTGTGGTGTCAGCAGGGGTTGGGCTTTCAGAGAAGGGCTCCAGAGCCACAGGGAGAGCCCAAAAATAATTCAGCAACTCCTAAGTGGGTAGTGCTACACTTGCTACAGAATTCTATTTAGACTGTATTACCATTAATAAAAGCTGGTCAATAGTTTTCTATCAGATGAGTGACTTAGATCTCATATAACAAAAGGTAGCCTTAAGGCCTAGGAAAGATGGCAAATAGAAAGAAAGTTGAAAATGGGTGAGAGAAGGGATGGGAGGTTCAGATTACAGGAAAGAATGTGTGGGAGTAGAGTTGGTGAGGGCGGAAATTGTATATATATATATATATATATATATATATATATATATATATATATTTCAATCTGCTACTGTTGTTCATGAGCCTTTCAGGAGTTCTGACTTCACTGACAGTGGCAGCCCCCATATTTCCCTTACAGTGCAGTTAATTGTTAGAGTTGGGGTTCCTTATAAATAAAGGTTAGTTTATTGGTTAAAGATATGAAGTTATGGCTGGGCTAAAGTAAAGTATTTGAATCAGATGATTTTGTTATGGATAGGTTTTATGTCAGTAACACAAGGGAGACCTCCCTACACTGGCAATATCTGAGCCGGCCAAAGCAAACCACAATGCCATGATTTGTATGTGCCTGATGCACATTTCGTCAAACAGAATTTATAGCATTGTTCATCAGGGTGGAACCCATAATGTCCTGCTTTTATTTTAGCAAAAATAATGAGCAATCACAGACTGGTATCATCAAATGAGCAATAAGAATGAAATATTTAGCATTTGAAATTCTAACCATATATTAACCTTGACTTTTGGGTAGACTTGGAACCAGGAACTCATTTCTGCAAGTGTTTCCCAGCATGTTGTTTCCTCAGATGCTCTTGCGTAGATGCTAACAAAAGTTCTCAGGTTTTTTTTTTAACCCTGAACATAGGAAATTCTGCCAGCAATATTTCACTTACTGTCATGCCTACTGTCATGACAAAGGCTATAAAAAATGTGATTCCTATATTTTCATAACTACTACTGACATTTGCAATTTAGCTTGCAATCTTGAAGGCTTTCAAGACCAGGCAATGTTTGCTTCCTCAACTAGGCTTCCTAGATGCATGCTAAAAAACCTGCTCCTTTACCAAAAATAGACTAAAAAAACATGTTTTCTTCCAGCTTAGCATCTCAGTAACACAAGGGTCACCCATATTGAGGGCATGTGACCTTGTACAGTGGGTAAAATAAGTATTGAACGAGTCACCATTATTCTAGGTAAATATATTTCTAAAAGTGCTATTGACATGAAATTTTCACCACATGTCAGTAACAATCAATGCAATGCATACATACAAAGAAACCAAAACAAATAAGAAATGAAGTTATGTGTAATAAAAATGCAATGACACAGGGAAAAAGCATCAAACACATGAAGAAAGGGAGGTGCAAAAAGGCACGGAAAGCCAAAGCACCAGCTGAAATCTATC